CTTTGGAGACCAGGCTGGCTTCAAACTCACAGAGATCCGCCTGCCTCTGCCTCCTGAGTGCTGGGATTAAAGGCGTGCGCCAACACCGCCCGGCCTTTTTTTTTTTTTTTTGAAATAGCAATTTTTAAAACTAAGCATTCTACTATGATGCAATCTAAAGACAGACTAATTTGATAATTACAGCAGGAACATATTAAATGTCTGTTTTCTATTACTAAGACATCATGTTTCTATAAGAACAGAAACTTTTCAGGGTGGTGTTGGCGCACACCTTCAATCCCAGCACTCAAGAGTCAAAGGCAGGCGGATCTCTGTGAGTTCGAAGTCAGCCTGGTCTACAGTGTGAGATCCAGGACAGCCACAACTGTTACATAGAGGAAGTCTATGTAAGGAAAAAAAAAGAACAGAAACTTTGTATACAATAAAAACTGCGATCGATCCGTATCACACCAAAGTCTCTCATCTGAGCTGAGGTGTTTCAGAGCGTTCACTGGTGTCGTCTGGTGTGAAGGCCTCCTCTGGAAAGCGCATGCTCAGAACGAGGCTGCAGTGATTTCAGGAAACACAACACCAGCGAGCATGGCCAGGGGGGACGTGTTACCACGCAACTGATTTTGAATTGATTTTTGGTCATTGTGCTTTCAGAAGCCTTTCAGTGTTACCAAACTTTTCACAAGCCTCACACTGCGCTGAGCCTCCCGTCGGATCGCAATCCACAGAGAAGTGGGACCCAACCGTAAAAACGCCTAGATGTCATCCAACCCCAGCCTTCATTCACAGTGCTGCGGGCATCTGGGGAAGTCAGGGCTGAGGCCACCAACATCTTCCACGGCCCTTCTTTGTGCAAACATTTATGCATACCTAGGGCTTTTCTATCTTCAAAATATTTAAATCTAAGAAATAAAAATAAAAACTTTCTGAGTCCAAACTCCCACCCCCAACCACTGCCTGACACCCCATCTTTCTGTTCAGTCAACCTTCTGGAAAGATCTGGGTAGGATTGCTGTTTCTTCTCTCTCTCTCTCTCTCTCTCTCTCTCTCTCTCTCTCTCTTTCTTGAGACAGGGTTTCTTTGTATAGCTTTGGAGCCTGTCCTGGAACTCCCTCTGTAGACCAGGCTGGCCTAGAACTCACAGAGATCCGCCTGCCTCTACCTCCCAAGTGCTGGGATTAAAGGCCTGTGCACCACCACTGCCCACTCTGACAAAACTTCTCTTTAATCATGTCTCTGAAACTTTCTTGCTCATCCTGTTGATACAGTCGGCCCACCTCACTCCTGCACTACCACGCAGCCTCTTGCTTGGCCTACTCCTGGATGAACTTTTCATATCCTTCAGCAAATCCTGCCTTTAGGGGCAGGTTAGAGACCATCTTTTCTCCAGCCTTTCTGTTGTATGCACTACTTTGTAGACAGAGAGTGTTCACAGATGAGCAAACAGAATTCAGGAGCAGGAAAGGCAGGTCTAACTCTGATGGTTGGTCCCCGAGTGAGCAGGGAGCATCCCGAGAGGATCATTTTGTTGCGAGCCCCTTGACTCTCTCATGCAATGTGGATTTTGGGTATACTGAAAATTATCCTAGTGATGATGGAGGAAAGCTCGGCTGTGGCCGGGGTGAAGTGTGGGCGGAGCCCAGCTAGGGAGCCGCTGCTATGCAAGGTGCACTGGAGGCCGGGGTCTGGGGGACCGCCAGCTAGGCAGGATTGACTCAGTTCTGTTGAGGACAGGAGAAGAAAGTGGGGGACTGGCTGTGTCGGGGGCCCTTGTGTGTGGGTGGTGGTGTTTGCATTATTCCAATCCGGGCACAGCTGGGTGAAGATAGAAACTTAGGGCGGGGAGGAATTTCCAGGAAATGAAAGCGAAAGAGAAGTTAAAGTAAACTCTGAGCAGCTTGGGCGACCCGGCAGTCGCCGGCACCCAGGCCAGCCAGGATGGCAGCGTCCCGGTCGTTCCCGCTGCTGGTTGAGGGGTCTTGGGGTCCCGACCCCCCGAAGAACTTGATCAACAAGTTGCAAATGTACTTCCAGAGCCGGAAGAAGTCGGGCGGAGGGGAGTGCGAAGTCGTCCGGCAGCCCGGGAGCCCTGGGCGCTTCCTGGTGCTCTTCTCCCCGGAGGACGGTGAGGGGCGCGAAGGCCAAGGAGGGTCGCCCCGCGCGGGGTTCGGGGCCACGGGTGCCAGGCCAAGAACTCAGCTGCAGCCCCGTGGGAGGGGGAGATCCTGGGGGCAGAGCCTGGGTGGCGAGCGCATCCCGGAGTAGCGGTTCCCTTTGCTCTTCCAGGCGCTTCCTGATGCTGTGAACCTTCCCGTGGTCGCTTTCTTTTTTCCTTTCTTTCCTCCCCCCTCTTTCTTTCTTTCCTATTTTTATTATTCAGGTGGTGCAGGAAAAGAATGGAAAAACCTGAGTCCTGGGTCA